ATCCTGCATGTTCGGACCGTGAGAAGAAAACAGAGACAAACCCACACGGGCACACGAAGAACATCCTCCTGTCACTTGTGACACTTGACATTGTTTTATTTACTTTCTTTTGGATATGCTTCCTGTTCTCTCCATCCATTCAACACTGTGGTTACGAATGAAGGGATGGATTGCCATGGAATCATACATGCATGTTCCAAAGAGGATACATCCTATATTCCATTAATCCAAGCGGCTAACTTTTCCACGCTTCCACATCATCAAGTTAAAATTTAAATGTGTCAAGTAAATGGATTTCAAACCAAATACCTGGAATATTAACATGTATGAGCATTGGCGTTCCAACATGCTAAACTTAAATGAAGGTGGTGGTGAATGCTGATGTTAAAACACCACTGCACCACCAGAGTGGCTGCAGACTCTGTTTTAATCAGTTCATCAGATTTCAGATGCAGACAGGCCCCAGGTGCCTTATCTATACCCCCCCACCACCACACACACACACACACACACACGTCTGGGTCCATGTGGGTATTTCACTAGTCTCTATCACCTTCACACTCAACACCCTGATATCTCCTCCAGGCTCAGTGTGCAGCAGCAGCAACAACATAGCTGCAACCACTCACATTACACAGACACATACACTCTCACACACATATACACACACAAACACACACAGACACACACAGACACAAGCACTTGCGTAACTCCATGTCAAATGTGGGTCTGCTGAAAGATGAGCTTGGCATGCAGTGGAAATCGTGATCATACTATCTGACTCAGTCATGAACAATGAAGTGAACTCAGAAGTGGGAAAGGGCAGATAAATGAAAGCATTGCTCAGCCATGACTTTTAATCTGTGTGAAATCTGGGACATATGCTCCAATTTTAGATAATGAATCACCTGAAGATTAACGTCTCATGAAGATTAACTGTAAAAATTGTATGTTGTTATTTTTATGGCTCTGTGGCAACAATAGCTGTGGCTGTAGAATTATGGTTTATGTTTTCTGTTGGACTGCCTGTCCCTCCTTATGACTGTCCATCCGTCCACCAGTCCGTCCGTCTGCTGCTCTCAGACATGCACTGAACTCCAGATATTCTCTTGATATTATCCAGAGGGGCTGTATGTGAAAGTGCAAATGTCAGTTGCTCCAGACAGTCTCTGGAGTTTCTTCTGCCAGCCCCAAGTAGAAACTCAGGAAAATGCCCAAGTGAGCCCATGTGGGAATACAGCAGGATATTATCTGGAGAATCCACTGCAAGCTTTTGCTTTCAAGTAGCATCACCAGTGTCGATGTGCTGTAAACAAAAGACCTGACCTTCAAATTGGTGCACACTTTCACACACTTGTACTCAAGGATGAACGGATTTTAGTGTTCAATGTTCAAAGGTCACCGTGACCTCATGTCTGTCCCATTCTTGTGAAAACGTTATGTCAGGAACAGTTGGAGCTAAATTTTGTTACACCAAGCATCAACTTAAATGTTCTCAAGACATTGCAGGCACACCAAACTGCAGGATGTATAAATTAATACAAGTAATTCTTTATAGAGTGTAGACCAAAAAAGACAGAGAGTTTAATGACATTAGCACACATCTGTCTCACCCTAGGTTAAGACTCACCTGATATGCCCTGATATGCATGTTCTCACCTACCATCACTTAAAAGTGACGCTAACAAGAATAAATCTTTAGGCTATTTATCATTTATCATTTTTTATTTTACGCTAAGATGTTTTCTCGCTGAAGAATCACCGGTTGGAGTCACACAGATGACCACAGATAACGCTTTGCTGCACAGACATGTTGGAAACCATCCCACTCTCTTCTCCAAATAGTGGTGGTGTAACAGCTTAACAGACCTCCCACCCTTACACCCCAGCACCTGTCTGTGTGTCTACATACGTGCGGGGGTAAGGAGAGATATCATCGTAACTTCTAAACATAAACCAGAGGCCCCTGGAATGCTGAGCTGATCTAATCAGCCTTTTTTTAGTGATATGTTCTTCCTCTTAACCTTTTGTTTAATATGTTTACATTGGATTAACACTGTTTGGATGGATTTTTCATGTGGACCACCAGTGATGTGAAGTAGTCATTAGTTTTGGGTCACTGTTTTGGGTTGTCATTCAGTAAGTATAGGGAAATCGCTCCTGATACATGCATGACTGCACCTCAGCAGAGGCAGGAGTAGAAAAGAAAAGAGCTGTGAGGCAGTCTTAGTGGTATCACAGTTGATTTGTGTATCTGTTATATCATGATTTACTGCTGTTGTTGGTTTGTAACTTAGAACAGTAGAGTCCTTGTTTATTTTCCCATCTCCCTCAACCTGTCAAGGTTTCCATGGTTGCTTCTCTGTGTGATTATGTGGCCTTATGAGGCAATGATAATGCTCAATGTCCCACAATGGTTGTGGATGGGAGTGACTGTCCAAGACAAGATAAAAAGTGGATGATATTGTGGAACCTCATAGTGTTTAGTCATGCTAACAGTAGGATTACAGCTAGCATGAGCTCAGTTGTGACCTCAGCACTTGGGACGTTATTCCATGACTAACACTCTCACAAATAAATCACTAATCACTCTATAGTACAGTACATAGTGAGTTCGCCATTTTGTAGTAGTGTCCGAATGTTTAGTTTTAATACCCTTTATAGTGCACTCATTGTTTCTGATGGACACTAACCGAGCAATATATACCATCATGCACTGCACTCGTGGCGGAGAGACGAGAGGAGCGAGAGCAGCAGGACTATGTCATTACCGGAAAGCTTTTCTTTCTTTTCCGGCAGAGATCACTATGTAGTGCTCTGTATACTTATCACCATATAGAGAAGTAGGGAATAGTGAATGAGGGTGATTTTGGACACAGCATAAGGTCACATTCAGACAGACATTTGCTCTTCATTAAAACAGAGCAGAAGGCTGGGTGGATGGGTGTGTTGTCTCATGTACCAGTGAGACAGTGGGATAAGTGCAGTTGCGGGAATGAGCCTGAATGTATGAGACTGGCCAATGCTAGCGTCTTGCCAGGTGACATCATGCTGTGATGCAGCAATTGGACTGAATCAACTCTTTCTGCCGAAGGAACAGAAGTCTGAACATTGTTTCAAACGTTGTTTGAACTCTCTATAATATGTTTGTATTTAGTCACAAACTAAGACAAATTATAACCTCTTATTTTATATTTGGTTATTTATTCCAAGGGTAAAAACAAAAGATATTTCCTTAACTCTACTGATGGATAATGTCTGTCAACAAACCAATAATGTTTTCATTCATGTTCAAACCAACATTTGACGTAAACATTTTGACCATGCAGCTGAAAAGTCAGTTGGGGACTTTTACATTTCAGTAAAGTAGATTTGTTAATTTCTTCAACAGCCTGACTGAAAACATAAAAAAATGATGACAGTATCTTACACAGGATTTACAAACCTCATTATCCCCTTGCTGGTATTTCCCTGTGAAACATTAGGAGCCTAGAGGTTGTAAATAGTATTGTGTCTACACCTGTTGCCTGTGTATCTAAAGTGATCCACTTACTGAACCAAAACCAGAGTGGAACCAATATTATAATGAGTTCTAGCAAACACCCAACCATCTCAAGTGTCCAGCACAAGAGTAAGAGGAGTGTCTTGGCTTCCACTCTGACACCACTCAGACGTCCATATCTCTGTTTTCCTTCTTGGTCTGTGCAGTGCTATCAGCTTGCTACCCTGTATTTATAGGCAAAAACACTTCACAACTACTGAGAGCTCTAATTTAAGTGTGTACATAACAAGGTAAAAATGAAAGAGGGAACTTTTAATACCGACGGTGCAGATAGTTGTGGCCACGACATGGAGCTGAGCATTTTCCTTGCCAAGGTCATTGTTTTAATTAAATCGAAGCTGTATTATAATTGCTGTTGTTGCAACAAATTTAGGATTGGTTCATTGTTTAAATCCACTCTTTCTCCATCTTTTTGTCCTCCCATCTTTACATCCTCTGCTCTGCCTGCTGTCACTCAGTTTCCCCATGTCTCGCTTCCATGCATACGGTAGTCTGTGCCACGGCTGACGGTGTTGGGTGGAATGTGGCTCAACGTTCAGTTTTTAAATAGCATCCTAGTCTGAATCAGCCGCTCCTAATAAGGCAGAGGGCAGTGACACTGGCCCCAGAATATCAGCAACCACCTCACTGGGCATAAAACTTTTCCTTCCCTTGATAGTAAGACATGGGAGCCAGAGACTCCACAGTGCTGCTTTGAATCAATTTTGAGTCAAGATAACAGGACAGTTCGGCTGTAGGCGGCCTCAGCAGGATTCCAATTTGAGCTGCAGGTGTTTATACTTTCGGGAAACCGTTGCTTCAGTAAGTTCCGGAAATCCTTGGGTGAAAATTGCCCAAAGTCCCATGCGGTACAACCATGGGTGTAATATCCTCTGTGAATAGGGTAACAAGGCGCCCTCACTTTGCAGAATTCAGTTGTTGTCCAGTGCATTGTGGTTGTTTCAGGGTAAAAGTTTCCTTGAACACTACAGTCCCAATAAGAGAAGCATCAATAAACAAGCTATTTGATGTCTCCAATAATGAACTGGCCCTCACACGATAATCTTCAGGAGTTTTGCTCCCTGTTACATAAAGGCTAGTTTACATTACTGATGAAAATGTATAGGGTTCTATAAAGCCTAAAATATAACTTTTTCATGTTTTATAATTCTATATTTGGAGTCATAGTTAAAAAAACAGAAAAGCTTTGTTCTCTATGCTGTTATAAAAGTATCCTTCATCCCCCAGAAACTGACGTGGAATCAAATTAACCATCTAATTATATGCAAAGATCTTTGACAGTGTTCCAACCAATGAAACTACACTTTTTGGGTAGAAGTCATGTCGTCCTCCTTTATTTACAATCTGTGGTGCAGACCTATGCAACATACCTCTGCAAGATCAAGCATGACACCATGTGATTAAATGATTAAATGAATTGTCACTGATGTTCTTTCAGGATCCTGGTGGGGGCGCCACAGGCAGCGGGGCTAGGTCCATTGCGGGGCAGTCGACCAGGAGCCTTGTTCAGGTGTCCGATCACACCAGAGGAGTATGACTGCGAGAGGGTGGATATTGATGGAGAAGGTGAGTAAAACTGAAATGTAAATGAATTCACAATAAATATTCAGACACTATTTCAATTATTGATTATGTGTTAAAATTATTTTCTGAGCAAAAACACCAAAGCCGATCTTTGGGTTTTGTACTGTGGGTCCAAAAGTTATTTGAGAAAATTGTAGTTTGTAGTCAGGCGAGATTTTAAGCACTTACCCTTTGTCTTTTTATTTTCCCACTGAGACAATCCCTGAATTAAATGCACCTTCCTTCCTTTTGTTAAATCTAGAAGTAAGCCTTCAGGTTCACTGTGTGGCATGCTGTGCATGTTGTTATACATTTGAATTAAAGGGTTTCTAACTAATATTTGTGTTAAAATATATTATCTCTAAATCTTCACCGAGGCATTTTGCATGTGCATCACATGAAAGAACGTTTACCTTGAACTTGTCTAACTCATTACATAACAACATGCTATTTGCTTGTGTCGGCTCAGATTCTAATTAGTTTACAATATGGACCATGTTTGCTATTTCCTTCTGTGTTTTCCCTCAGTGAGTCTGGACAGAGAGAGCAAAGACAACCAGTGGCTGGGAGTGACTGTGAAAAGTCAGGGGATTGGAGGGAAGGTGGTGGTGAGTAAAGATCACATCATGTAAATTCATTAGTCAGGAAATCACAGAGAGTGATAATGTACTTTGTTGTTTTGCTGCTGATCCAGTCAGTCATGGACAAACATTCTCTTAGTTTCCATTAAATTAACCTTTATAACTTATTTTGTCAATGCTCTCTTAGAATTGTGAAAATAAATATATTGTGCTGTTGCCTGTCTCTTATCAGACCTGCGCTCACCTGTACGAGCTCAGGCAACGTGTGCGTCAACCTTCGGAGACTCGTGACCCCATTGGGCGCTGCTACGTCCTGAGTGAAGACCTGACGGAGCGAGATGACCTGGACGGAGGCGAGTGGAAGTTCTGCGAGGGTCGACCCCAGGGACACGAGCAGTTTGGTTTCTGTCAGCAGGGCCTATCCGTCAGCTTCACCCCAGACAACAACTTCATTCTCTTTGGTGCTCCAGGAACATACAACTGGAAAGGTAAGGTGTCTCGTTGGCTTGCAGAAGGGTGGATCATATAAAAAAGCATTGCGAAGCATTACATTCCGTTAGAAAAATGTTTTTGCTTTTAATGCCTTTACATGGCAGCAAAAACATATTATCAGCTTGTATTTCTTCGTCTCAATGTTTTGGTCCATTGGTCATTATACATTTGTTTTACGTTTTGTCCGAAATTGGCCACATTCAGCTGATTGAATGTGATATATATATATATGTTCAGAGTTTTCTCTGATTTATAACTAAATAATGAGACAATTATACTTATTTGGTTTCTTGTTAAGATTAAAAAGAGTTATATTGATATCAATGACATGTATATATGGTTAATATGAAGCTACATCCAGCAGCTGATTATCTTAGCATAGCATAAGACTGAAAAGTGGGGTAGAGGATTTGCCTGGTTCTGTCCAAATTCAGACAGATTGATCTAGCTGCACCTCTGAAGATTGCTAATTAACCTTTTGTATCATTGTTTAACCCATATAAAAAAGGGACATTTCACTATTTCAGTTAATCAGCAGAAACACCAGAAATGTTCTGCTCCTGGTAAGAAAGTGAGTAAGCATATTACACAAAATATTCCTTTAAGCGTGAAGCTAAACCTTGAGTACTGTACCTTTTTATGGTTTTAGTTCTGTAAGAGTCAGCCCATGTAAACAATCTAATTAAAGCCGTACTACTGACAGGACTGGGGGGAAAATGGATTCAGTAGCCAATCTAGTGATTGAACACTGGACCTATGCAGAGCAGCAGCATCCAGTTAATCAAAGAAAGTACTTAGATCAGTCATAAATTACTGGATTAAATTATATTGTCATAGTCTGCGACAGAAGATTAATGCTATGTTTTACTGTATATTTTCTTCTTCTGTATATACATACAATATGAAAACTGTGTAATAATGCACACGTGCATGTATATTTGAGGCAAAGAGCGTGAGTGTCTGAAGCTCTTCGTCCTCTGCCAAAGTTCTGTTGTTGCTTTCTTGTGTCCTCACCTATTTCCATTCCAGGCGAGATGCGCGTCCAGCTCCTAAACCAGACTATGCTTGACCTCGGTTTCTATGACGATGGACCCTACGAGGTGGCAGATCAGAAACAACTTAATGCTCAGCTCATCCCTGTGCCTTACCACAGTTACCTGGGTAGGATTTGCCCTCCCTGCTCACTGCTGCTAGCGCACAGGAGAGAAAGCGAGGGCCGGAGGAGGGGCGACACCAGGGCTCAGACTATACCCCAAACACAACGGACATAACCGCAGTGGCTACAGCAACAGTAGCAACTGCCACATTGCTTCTGACTAGTGGAGAGAAAACTTGATTTAGCGTCCCTGTAATTCCATTCTGAGTATTTCTGCTATGACTCATGAAGCCCTGTGTATGATTTTCTCATATGAATGTGGGCGGACACGTCAAATAAGTCCAAACTTATTGTGGCCTGACATGAATTCAAAAAACAAAACGATGATGTCACCCTCATGCCATCCACCGCCCTCTTCTAGCAATGAAGCATGGGGAAACATGTCAAAACTTAAGGTGGGTTGTGTCCAGTGTCAGGCTACAGTCTGAGCCATGAGTGTCATCTCTCTACTGGGTACCCAGTGGTTTCGAAGGGGAAAGAAAAACCCGCTGCGGCACCGCAAAGACAAAGCACCAATCAATCACAGCCTGTCTCACCTGCACCTCCCTTCTCCCCCTTTTTTCTCTCTTTTCACTCTTTTTTGTTCTCACCACCCCATCACTCCCTTCCCGCACTCTGTACCTCTCTGTCTTTCTATCCCTGTCTCGGGCCGTAGGGCTCTTGTTCATGGCTAGCCCTGTTGAAGATGCACTGCTGTACAAAACTCTGGAGCCCTCCAGCCGGCCCACGCCATTTGAGGACGTAGCTCATAATAGCTACTTAGGTTTGTAGGCGTGACGTGTTGTTTGGACCGGACTGGGCTTGTTGTGGAAGTAGTCCCACCCTCTTCTCTCGTCTTCGTCTTAATCCTTTCTACCTCGTGTCTATGTTTATAAAAGTTTAGTGTGTAAAACATGGGACAGTATCACCTTCACTGTTATGAAGAGACAATCATCCAAAACCGAAAATCCTTGTATAAATACTAAAAACCCTGGTTAATTTTATTTATTGTTTTTAGACTTTTTTTAAATTTTGTCTTTAAGAAGTGACTGAATTTTTAAGATGGTTGTCTCAGTTCATAGCAGAAGGTGTTTGTCTGTTCTGTCTGTAGATGTCTGTCATCTGTAGCGTGTCGAGTCAGTCTGCATGTGTGTCGGTTCGAAGCGTTCCAGGTGGCGGTGGTTTTCTTATCGGTTGTCGTCGTTTTACGTAAAAAAAGGTTCAACTAACAAACAAGGCTATGGGTGTTCTGAGCTATATGCTAATATTAGTGTGCTAACATGCTTGCAATGATTACATACTGTTGTTCATTGAGCATAATGTTTACCATGTTCTCTTTAGAATTCTAGAATCCTAACACTTTCTGATAGTACTTTACACAAAAGCTAACACACAGCAGAGGCTAGTTTTGTTGTGACTACAGTACTAGACATATTTTTATATTCTATTCTATATATACTGACCTGATGATGTTGCGAGATAAGAAAAATCAAGGATCACCAAAGTTATTTCGATGCATTGTCATGAAAACAAGGAACAAGATATTGTCGCTGGATAAGTGAGAACATTGATGTAACATCAGTGCTGGAGGAGAGACAGGGATCACAAAACTCAGTGGTATCCTCTGGGGCCCATGAATGTTGGTATCAAATATCACAACAATCAATCCTGCAGTTGTTGAGTATTTACGAAAATGACGTCACAGTCGGCTGTATGCTGGTTTCTCTACGTTTGGTTAGCACTGCTAGGTCTAATTACAGTAGTTTGCAGCTACAGTTAGCATTACCACATTAGCACAGCTACTATTGTTTTTGAAGTTACTCCCTCCAAATGAGAAAAAGCTCACTGAGCATGCTCACCATGTTTTTCTGTTGTATTTGACAGATTGTTGATGTGGACTGTATCGCCACCTATTGGCCTGGCATGCTTGTTTGAGTGTATTGTATTTTGTATCAAAACAAATATCTGCAGTGGAGTGGACGAGGCCTCAGTCTGGACCAAAGTGGTGGACTACCATTTGTTTTATCAAACAAAGTATTCTTTTCATTTTTTGTTGATAAGCTGTTGATGTGCAATGACTCATCGGTCAGACCATTCCTTATTTATTTACAGTTATCATGTGGTTCCTATCACTTCTTTTCACCAAGTGTGTGGATCTGCAATAAATCTCTTTATTCACTCCATGCCTGTTTACCCTCCCACTCACCGTATTGAGCCGTCTCCTTGACAACACTAATTCCCACATGACCTTCTAGCCTTCATTTATAACTCACATGCTTCAATTGATCCTAACCAGATGATATGCCACACCTGCATGTTTACTAAAATGACAGACAGTGTTGTATATATTCCTGAAATCTGTTCCTAGCCTGTTGTTAAATCTCACATGGCACAGGATTCCAGTTGTTCGTCTTTTACTATGTTTATATACAAACAGAAAATCTATAAAAGGATATGTTTACTGATCTATTTATCCAAGGAGCAGTGCTGACTATATAAGGCATACATCCCTTTTTACCTCCGCAAAGGCTTAAACAATCCTAAACCAAAAATATCTTTAATAGGGTGTTAGTTTAACTGGAGTGTTCTTAAAAAGCAGGTTTTTGCCATGTGTGAAGTCGTTACATTTATCACATCTGTTTCCAGGTTTCATTTTCCAAAAGAAAAACAAAATTCTTCGTTACTTAGTGTTTGTCTTTGTCTGTTTATAGACAAAAATAGACAGAAGAAAACAAAGAAGTAGAAAGTATGAAAGGAGTATATTATTAAAGTATTATAAGCAATAACCAGAATAGAACTCAAATCGTGCACATCTCTGGCAAGGCCCAACAGTCCCCCAATGAAACCACATTTCAATTCACTAGGATCTGCACCAAATTCTACACACTCATGAAAATCAGTCCCCTAAATATGTCTTTTACCTCAATATCTATTTATTATTCTCTGAGAATAATATAATTATAATTATAGGCCAGTGAAATGAAGTGAACCCACACAGTTGATTGAAATCACTATCGTCGGTCCCACCTTTACTGATGCAGGGCCCCCAGCCCCTTTAAAAATCCTTCTACGGCACTAAAGCTTTCATCGGCCATTTAGTTTTACAGTGTCGACTTTGTCGTAAGCCTGTGTGTTAAAAGCCGCCCTGCGTGGAAAAAGTAGCTCTTTCTCTCTGTCCGTTGGTTTTTTTATAGGAATTGAGATGCAGACTGTTGCATTCCACACCTGCCACCCTGGAGCTGCCCACTGTTTGTCTCTGTTTTGTCTCCCTCTGCATGTTTACTCAGGACTAACAAATGTCCCAATAGATTGTCCTCCCTTTTGACACCCTCTGCACGTTTTCTTTTACGAACCATTGAAGCAAATGCATGCTGCTGCTTTTGTTAAAGTGAAATGTTTGATATGATGTGCCATTTTTCACAGCTTGATCAGAAAATGTCAACACAACGAAGCAGACACGCACACAGACACACATACACACACACACACCCTTCCCCCCTTCCACTTGTTCACTCCTTTGCTTTACCTGATTTACATGCAAACACATCCTCACATTCCTTCACACACACACACACACATAGATGCACACTTTCACAATGCACACTCACACAAAGGAGGAGATGCTTTAGGCCATAAATCTGATTAATATCCACTCACTGTGTTTACACACTGCCTTCACCAGAGGCAGCTGATTCAGAACAACAAGATCATGGATCTCAGGAGACATCATACATCTCCCTCTGCCCTTCTGCTCTGGCTGGTGGATGCACAACCGTTTGCTCTCCTCCGACAAACGCAGCACACAGGACATTTATACCCCTCATGAGTTTGGCATAAAATCAATAGTCACTTAAGGCACACATTTCATTAGTAAGAAGATGAGCAGTACACGCTACACTGAGAGGAGATTAGCCTCTGAGACCCATGCTCAATACTAACCCATGACCCTTCCTCCTCCACTCTGCCTTCCTTCTCCTTCTTCTTTTTAAAGGGTTTTCTGTGGACTCAGCCTTTGGGATAACGAGCCTCGGAGAGCTGACGTTTGTGGCGGGTGCACCCCGGGCCAACCACACAGGGGCGGTGGTGCTGTTGAGAAAGGATAACGTGTACCGACTGGTGCCACAGCACATTTTCTGGGGGGAGGAGCTGGCATCCTCATTTGGGTACTCGGTAGCTACGACGGATCTGAACAAAGACGGGTGAGGAGATTTTGAAGCCCAGATCTTAGAGGAGTGGGGTGGGTACGGACAGGTTGCTGGGTCATTGCCTGGACACGCAGGAAAATATGTGGGCCAAAGTGACCTTAAGAAATGTTGACATTGATATTTTTGGCTACACACTCTTATGAAATCCGTCAGAAATAATGTTGTGCACAAATGATTATTCAATGCAAAGTCTTTTATGTTTTCTATTAAAAATGTTGAGGCATCTCTAACTGTTCCTGTTCCTGTCTTCAGCTGGACAGATCTAATTGTCGGAGCTCCTAACTTTTTTGACCGTAAGGCCGAGATCGGTGGAGCCGTTTACGTGTACTTGAACCCCTTCGGTCACTGGGACGATCACGCGCGACCGATCCGTCTCAATGGGACGTATGACTCCATGTTTGGGATCACAGTCAGCAACATTGGAGATCTGGACCAGGATGGATATGGAGGTGAGAACAATTGTATCCAACAAAACCAGAGAGTGGTTAATGACCTCAAGGTGTTTGACATTCAGGGAAGTCAGGACTCATTAATGCAAGTGTTGATATTTGTGTTTTAATCTAAGACATTTGATATTTAATTTGAAACAGTTACCATTCTCCAACGATATATGGGCAAAATTAATATTATATGAATGTCAATATGCTGTGTTTTGACTGGTTACAAACAAAACTGCAAGATTATATTATTTTTTGCTGATTTTGTAGGAATTCCTGATTCAATTACATTCACTATGTTTTTATTCACTTGTCCTCGTCATTCTGTCTGTGATTTATGTTTTAAAAAAATGAAATGTAAGTGGGAGGATGTACTTGTAAATGTAAAGAATTTAATAGATCTTGTATGTGAACAGATATTGCTGTCGGAGCGCCATATGATGGTGACGGCAAAGTTTTTATCTACAGAGGATCACATTCTGGAATTGAGACGAAACCTGCTCAGGTGAGTTTCATAAGACGAGTGAGTAAATAGTTGAAAATGATGAAAATGAAAGAATTGCATGAAGGAAAAAAAGTGATTATGAAACTAACTGAGTGAATATTGATGCATGTTTCTTATCCCGTCAGGTGCTGGACGGTCGGGACTTTGACGTGAGACGTTTTGGATACTCCATCTCAGGTGGTCTGGACATTGACAATAATCAATATCCAGATATTGCAGTGGGTTCTCTTAACGATTCAGTGGTTCTCTTCAGGTGAGGAACGAATTACATCTAAATGAGATTGTCAATAATTTCAAATAGCACATTCAACGTGAAACATATTTTTATTATTGGAAAAATCGTGATCAGAATCTAAACGTTGTTGAATGTAAGAAACACAGTAATTATCATTGCAATCTGTTTTAGCATCAGTGGGTTGTTATTCATGCTTCCAATTCATTTTTATGTGTTTGCATGTGTCCCTAAGGTCTTGTCCAGTCATTCATGTAATCAGAATTATATCTATTAATCCACAACACATTGATCTGGAGCAGCACAACTGCAAGGGCAGACAAGGATTCTGGTAAGAACTGATAATGTCATATAACTTGACTTAACTTAACCAAACCAGATTTTAAAGCTTATATAAAGGATATTCACTGCTGCTAGGTGTCACACTGGCACTAGCATTTTGGACAAATGGTCGACCACACCTCCCCCACTAACATGCACATGTACATGCACTAACATGAACATGTGCCCGGACTGGCAACCAAAACAAAGAGCAGAGAAGCTCAGATTACGACAAGCAAAGGGACTGCTCACTAAGGTCGCCAGTATTCATTGATATCTTTATAAAGAAAATATTAGTTGGCTGTTATATTAATGTTTAAAATCACATATATTACTATATATTATATTATATAACCTTTAAAAACAATTATTTTTGCTGTTATTGTTGTTAAAACCTCTAACGCTTTATTTTTCACTCTCCACCACGTGACTCTTTCAGTGTGGAGGTCAAGGCCTGCTTCTCCTTCATGGCCCACCCAGAACACTACTCACCACACATTAGTAAGTCGCAGCTCAGTGTTCACCACCATTTGTGTTCGTTCACTCACGTGGGACTTCATATCACGCTGCACAGTGACAGGAGTCCTTTCTATTTACAGTGATGTAGTAACCTTATCTGTGGTAAGGTTAGACTTTATTATGATTAAATCACAGCTGTGTAACACTGTATTCCCTGAGATGAGGGGTTTAATATATGCTCTGCCCCTGGTGGGCTCCTCAAGTGCTCTCTGTGTGCGTGTCCGGACATTTCTTCATTTCAACCCTTCTCTCTCTCTCTCTCTCTCTCTCTATGCATCACCCTCTTCTTTACTCCCATCAAGCCCTGGTGGTGCATTTCGAAGCTGACACCGAGCGTAGGAAGCTGGGCCTCCCGCACCGCGTTAATTTCCTGGGCCGCAGTTCACTTGAGCCCGAGTACACTCAGACAGAGGAAGTGGAGCTGCATAGCCAGCGTCACCCCGTGTGCACCACCGCTGTCTTCCAACTCCATGTCAGTAACATGTGATTGCGTGTTCCTGGTCAGATACATCATGCTAATGGTCTATTTATTATTTGATCATGTAAATAATAGTAAAATAATAAGTCAATGTATACAAGGTGAAAATCTGCCTTTTTGATGCCCTAAATACTTCTTTTCTTTCATCATTTTAACAAATAGGAGTCAAATTGCTGCAAAAATCTAGATCCAGATACTTTGCTTTACCGTTAATCATCATCTCTGTCCACGCAGGAAAGTATCCAGGACAAACTGCGTCCCATCTCGATGGCAATAACCCATACTATCAAGCCAGTGCCGCCACGCAGACACTCAGCCAAGAGGCTGGAGAAGCTGGCACCTGTGCTGAGTGTCTCCCCCTCCAACACACTGCACTCTGAGGTCAGTAACAAGCAGGAAGTAGAAGTATTTCATAGTTGCGAGTACTTAATTGGCTTCTCCCATTCAAACATATCTGTATAAACAAGTGAAGGTTTTATTTAATTATTGTCATTAAGTATAGATAAAGAATCATGATAAGCCTAATATACATATACATATGGAAAATAATAGATTCTTGTTGAATCGCAGGATTTCTGTTGCAAAATCTTTCTCACGTTGATGCTGGGTTGTGTGACGGTTGCTTCAAGTGGAGCGCTGTTAAATACAACACCTCTGAAAAAAAGATCCTTCTCATAAAGTAACAGAGATGCTTGTGAGTCAGCGTTCTTTCCTGAGGCCTTCTGCTGATTCATCCCAACTGCACACAACCGCACACTCGTGAACTGGGAAGATCACGCTTTGGGCTAAAATAACTTCTTCTTAAAGGTCAAAGGACCGTCTGTCATGACTAAAACAAACTGACTCTCGGTTGGAAAAGGGAAACAAACACAATAATCCACAACAACAGGTCGTGATAAACTGCTTGGTTGATGTGTGGGGTCTTTTTTTTTATGGGAGGAAAGTCTCTACAGTTCTGTGCAGAGAAAACTTTGACGAATCCCTGCACTTTAAATATACCCACATAGAAAAGTATAATGCAATAAAAACATGTCTTAATTTGGCCTTCTACATTATTCTGTATCAAAAGAGTGAAATCTTTTTCATCCCGTCTGTCTGGTTTACCCACTGAAGGTGAACTTCCTGCGAGAGGGATGTGGCACTGACAAAATCTGCCAGAGCAACTTGAAGCTGAGCTACCAGTTTGGAACACGACCCCTGACCTCCGACCTCTTCACCCCTCTGCCAAAGTTAGTATCTGCCTCAGTCTGCTTGAGCTGGTGGATTTAATAATGTGTACTGTCGCCAGGCAAACTGTTGCTTAGTAACCTACACCCCAGCTCCACTTAGGCCTCTGCAAAGGAATAAACAAGCTAATGTATAAACAAGCTAAGCAAATATTATTTCCAAAGTTACTATTATCATAATAGAGAGATGGATTTTAAAACTTATGAGAAAGTTTTTCAAATAGTGGTATTTCTTTCATATAAAATATTATAAGATGACTTACCAATATACAGGTTTACTTGTGCTTAATATTATGTGTACGCAGCCATCGCAGTACAGTGATTTGCTGCCTGAAACCTTACACGTGTGTTTTCATGTCCATTCCTGCCTCCTCTCTTCTTTTCCTCTCTGTAGAGATGAGGACGATGTACAGGTGTTCTCTCTGTCAGACCAGCGGCTGGTGGTGCTGGAGATCACCGTCACCAACATGCCCTCTGACCCCCTTCACCCCGAGGAGGACGGAGACGATGCTCATGCTGCTCAGCTGATTATCTCCCTGCCAAACACTCTGTCGTACGCCGGCTCCAGGGTCCCAACTCAGGTATGGGTTCAATCACAGCAGCATTTGGAAAATTGGTGTTTGACGATGACCCCAAGTGACAATATTGGCTGTTGTACTCATTAAAAATCCAGAATGCTCTGTGATCTGTCATGTCTGACTGTTTAGATGAGATGTCAAGCGAACCAGAATGGCTCCCAAGTTGAATGTGACCTGGGAAACCCCGTCAAACGAGATACTAAGGTGAGGAAAACAAACCAGTGAAAATACAGTGCAAACTTTCAGGACAAGAAATATAGAAAGTGTCATCAAACTATTAAATACACAACTTTCCTTTTTAGATATTAAATATGTATAATAATAAGTAATGCTTGTTGAAGTATAGCCACTGAAGTAAAAGTGACCAAAAATGAATAATTCACTCAATTTATTCACCAAGACGCGCAACAAATAGTCAATTAATTGATAAGTCAAAAAATTGATTGGCAACCACTGAGGTGATTGATTACTTGTTATACTGATTTTTAAGCATAAATCTCAAACATTAGCTGCTTAAAGCTTCTCAAATGTGATGAGTTGCTCCATTTTTCTGTCACATCTGAGTGTAAATTGAGTAATTGTGTATTTTTTGTCTTTTCACTTGATATTGGTTGTAATTAATCTGTGTGTGTGTGTGTGTATTTCACTCTCAGCTGAAATTCTCCATCAACTTGAGCACATCCAACATCACCATTGAGACGACTGAGCTGACAGCAGATCTCCTCCTGACAACGTAAGTTATTTTCCTGACAGGATGGAGCCGTGTGTTATTTCACATCACATGAAGGTTTCACACGCAGATATTTGACTCGTTCTGATAAAACACTCACTCCCTCTTTGTGTTTGTTCATTATTCTGTTCTCAGCATCAGCGAGCAGCCTGACCTGGTCCCAGCCACTGCATTTGCTAAAGTTGTGATAGAGCTCCCCCTTTCTGTCAGTGGGTGAGTTGTCAAAAAAGTGAATGTTAATAACCTCCTCTGGCAGTTTCCTCTTACAGTAATATAGACATTTTCTCTTTTTGTTTTAAAGTTGTTGAAATTATCTCACTTGTTTTCCATTAATTTCTTTAAACTCCCTATTCATGCTGGATTATATTTTATATTGAAGTACATTTTTTAAACCCAGTGCAAACCAATCAAACTGAAAATCCAGTTGTCTTGTACATCGTTTTATTAACATTCTCTAAACCCTATAAAGCTGTGTGAGTGTGTTTGAAGCTGTCTGACACACTGATGTGACGTTGTGTTTCACTGTAGGCTCGCTCGTCCTCACCAGCTCTTCTTCAGCGGAACAGTGATGGGAGAGAGTGCCATGACCAGCCTGGAGGACATCGGCAGCCCTGTGGATTTTGAGTTTGTGGTGAGGAATGAGTTGTGTCAGTGTGTGTTTGCGGATGTTCGTGTGTGAGTCCTTCAATCTGTGTGTTGCTGCAGTGTGTAAGTGCATGACAGCAGTGTTTGCCATTTTTATTCAGGTGGCGAATCCCGGACAAGCCCTGCAGACACTCGGCTCGGCCTTCCTGAACATCATGTGGCCCTACGAGCTGGCCAATGGGAAGTGGCTCCTGTATCCTGCGAGCCTGAAGTTTGAGGGTCACCCAGACACACACTGCATCCCCTCAGCAGCAATGAATCCTCTGAAGCTGCAGAGGTCCTCACCTGCAGAGCTTCCACAGTCTGTCAACCCCAAGGTTAGTAGAACAGAACTCTTTGAGGAAATGTTATTTAAAAACACAGTTTACAATTTCACACAATGTGGATTCAACTTTTCATGCAATGAAGAAGCAGTCAGTTTATGTTTCTTTTGCCACAGACGTTTCCTAGTGGCTTGTCAGAACAATCTCCAGAGAGACTACATAGGCGAAAAAGTGTTGTTGAGCCTATTGACCTGTAGATGGCAGACAAAACAAACCTGTCCTCTTTAAATCAAATAATTGTCAGTCATCCATATTGAAAATAATGTTGCAGTTTTCTGTTTTAAAGGATAAATAGAGAAATTCACTGCCACTAGGTGTCGCACTAGAGCACCAGCATCTCAGCAGCATGTGAGCTAACATGGGATTATCTGTGGCAGCAACATCATCCTTATACAAATTTGCGCAGTTCACAGACAGGTCATGTCCACAAAAAGACTGTAATGCTTTTTCCTGAACCGTCTCAAGTGACTGATCCATCTCTGCCTGTTTGAACACATCAACCAGGCTGGGCGAGCGCGCCGCTCCCACCCAGAGGACGAAGGTCAAGTGATGACAAAAGGCAGCGTGGGACGAACTACCCCAGCTGTGGCAGCTTCAGAGAGACGCAAGTCGCTAAAATTGGTAAGAGGGGGAAAGAGAAGAAGATAAGTAAAGACTTTGTTGTCCCAGGTGGACAACACAGTGTCTGCAGTACAAAAAAATATAATCTTTCATGCAGTCTTTCATTCATCTACATAGATACAATTTACATATAATATGATTTAAAACAGTGATCAGCAACAACATACACAGGACAGAAGAAACAAGATTCTGGGAGTGTTGTGTTGATTTGATTTTTGCAGAGAGGCAAATAAAACCCAGATGTGAAAAAGAAGAGATGCAGCATTCGTCCTTTTAGATCTCACTTCTTTATGTAACTGCTTGTAATTGTGCTCAGTCCCATTCAAGTGACTACCCAGAGAGCTTAGCTGTCACCTTCTTCTCCTCCAGGACTGTCTCCTGGGATCAGCACGTTGTGTCCTGTTCCAGTGTCCCCTCCACAGCTTCTCTGGTCAGGCTGTCCTCAGGATCCACGCCCGGCTGTGGAACAGCAGTTTCATAGAGGTGAAAAATAAATCCTACATCAGTGTCTTATTGCACATTATACTCTCAATCTCAGCTGCTGGTGCTCACACTGATTTAAGTAATGTGACTGAATGAGGGAGACCTGCAGGAAGTGCATTCAGTGAATGAGGAATAAGGGGTTAAAGCAGTCTGTTATTACAACTGTCAGCTTTGACCAATATTCAGCGACAGATCCAGGAGTAACAAGAAATATACGAAACACCCAACATGGTTTTCTTCAGTTTGATTTGTTATTATTATTATAATGTGACTCAATATGTTGAACTGAACAATTATTGTGACTTTAGAAATGATTGGATACTGGACATCAACAGAAGGGACTTTAGGTTTTAAGTTTACATAGGTCTTGAGAAGAATTCCTCCTCCAACTTTTGGTGGAGACAGCACAATGAGCGATTCATTAAATGTTATGCCAAGTTTTCACAGTGGTCACTGTGTCTGTGTCTCTCAGGAGTTCCCAGCAGTCAGTGCTCTGGAGCTGCTGGTCAGAGCCAACATCACTGTCAAGTCCAGCATCAAGCATCTGGTCCTCAAGGAAGCTGCTGCTCAGGTACTGAACACACGATACTCACACTGCCTACATCTCTCTGTGGCACATCTCTTCATATCTATATGTACTACTGTGTTTCTTATACATGCATCGATATGTCAGTTGTCTGTTTTTGTACCATCCCCCTGTAAGTGACTGCAGATGAAAACTATCCTGCATATATATCTAGCACATTTACATGTTGGACTCATACAGGCACGTTAATTAATTAACATGGTGTCAATCCAGCAGTGACAACATATTATTTTAAATGTGACCTTCCTCTCCTCTCCAGGTACCAGTGATGATCTACCCTGAACCTGGTCTGGCTGATCAGTACTTGATCCCCTGGTGGATCATCCTCATAGCCGTGCTGGCAGGCATCCTGCTGCTCACTCTATTGGTCTGCCTCCTGTGGAAGGTAACACACGCACACACACACACACACACACTCTCACACACACGCACCTGTCTCCCTTGTTACTCTGACATTTTCTCATCACTTTCCATGTCAGTCCAAGTATTTCTATCTGCTTTGTTCTGTCCTGTAATCATTTTATTCCTTCCAGCTCACTCTCATCTGTCCTCTTTTTCTACTTGTGTTTGTCCTCCCTCTGCCTCATCCTCTTTATGTTGTCTCCTCTCAATCCCATCTCGGAACTATCGGTCCCTATATCCTTCTTTTTTCCCTCATTGTTTCTCCCCCTGTTCTGTCTTTCCTTCACTTCCCCATGGTGATCTGTTGCCCCAGTGTGGGTTCTTCAAACGCAGCGAACGGCGCCGACACTATGAGACGGAGTACTTCCATGCCCACTTGGGGGTCCAACCCTCGGAGGCGGAGAAGCAGGCATCAGAACTATAATATCAAAAAAATATTACTCTGGCCTGTTCTCCCCTCCTCCTCTCCCTTCAAGCGGTAAAAATCCTCACCCACAAGCACATTGTTCCCTGACCACCGCTGGTGTGGCTGGTGGTGTTCATTAAAGTAATAACTAATAACAAGAATTATCACAAAAATACAGATGTAATGTTAAAGCAGTAATATCTGTTTTTTAAACCAATTTTCTTCATTTGGTTATTGTTGCAGTGTTTGCCTGAGCATATTAACATCCTAATGTAATTTTATGATGAGAAAGTTAATCAGCAATAATTTTGAAAAACAATGAAATACAAACAAACAAGCACACACACAAACTGGAACGAAACTAGAAGAAAATCAAGGAAAATGTTATAAGACACCTCGCAATGAAAAAAATACATCCTTGATCAGCCCCTGATCCAGATCTGCACCAAAATTGAATAGTTTGTTTATTGGGTTATGTCCCACCTCTACACAAAACTTCATGGAAATCTTTTGACTAGTTTTTTTGTAATCCTGCTGACAAACAGTAACCTGTAATATACACTTCTGCCAAATGGCACAATTCTCTGTTATTAGACCTTAATATAAAAAATGAGGGTTTTAGTGTTAAGATAAATTAACACCATTATTTTTCCCTGTGTAAAGTGTGCCTATACTGAACACTAACCATCTCTCCCTAACCAGAGCTGTGTGCTGGGCCTCTGCTGCTGACTTAACCGTCTCATTATCTGACACCAGTCAATGTAGACTATTCAATTTCCTGACATGCTTGTCACGCACATTTAATTTCTTCATACGACCATTTCACATGCATCTCATAAATAACTGCTTGTCCCAGGTGTTAATTGGATAATTTGGTGTTGTCCATATTAATGTGTGCCAATGTTTCTTAACAGCACTTTGCTGGTGTGTTGGTGTGTGAATCTAAGTCACTTTATACTCTTGCTGAATTAGAAGAGCATGTGGAGATGCTTTTTGTTGGATTTGTTTTGTATTAAAGTATCACAGTGACTGCACAAAGTCATCACATGATAATCAGGTTTTTGTATCATTGGTCTGAGATGAACAAGAAGACATTACTTTAATTAAATAAGTGAGATTTTGTAGATCTCTTACTGGGCCTGATATCGGAAGCAGACCATGTTATTAAGTGAAATGAGAGCAAAAACAGGCTTTTCTATGCCATCAATTAACTCTTTGTCTTTTTCTCTCTTCTTCTCTACTCTCCTCTTCTACCTGCGACCCCACCTGCTTCTCCTCCTCCTGCTGCCGACAGTGTGGCTTCTTCCGACGGGCCCACTACAAAGACAAAGTGCCTCAGTACCATGCGGTGAAGATTCCTCGCGAGGACAGGCCACAGTTCCAGACTGAGAAGTCGGGAGTCGTCCATAAAAAGGAATGGGCCACGCACTGGAGCGACGGGACCTCGTAACTCTGTTTAAAGCTCCGACTGACTGAATTCATGAAGAAAAATCACCACATGTGGCACTTGTTCTGTCTTTGCATTGGAACTAACGGACTAAAAAAATAAAAGTGCACATAGACTGAGATCATGAAATCCTGTGCACACTGTACTGCGTCAGTACATACATCATGGTGGCCTGTTACACTGGATCTATATTCTCCCATACTCTACCCCAACGATGGCCGGCCTTGGATAGTTTATTTATAACGTAAATCCTAACCAGTGTTTTGCAGAACGACCAGTTTAGCTGCTCAGAATATTTCACCGCCTGCAATGACGCTCATTTTCGTCAGTTTGAGTGGCACAACAAGGACGACAAGAAACCCACATGTCATAGAACTGCATGAATGCACAACATTACAGTTTAGTATTAGATGCACATACACTGGACACTGTTGAAGAAAACACCACTGCCCTCCGCAACTACAAAACTACTTTTTTGCCTTGACTACTGTAAGACTGACGACTGATATAGGCGATGGAAAAATAAAATACATTTTTTATACAAATTGGATGTTTGGAGATTTTCTCTTAGTTAGCACCATAGAGTGGTAAACAGTGGGGGATATGTCAGTATGTAAGATATCTGCAAAAGCATTGAATGTTGTTTTCTGGGCTTGCTGTTTGCTCTGAGCTGGCTGAGGAAAAAAAGCCAATAAATAAGTGAACCTGATGGTTTTTGTATTTCCTTGTTCAAGGAAAAGAAAGGCCTCCAAATGAGGAACCTTTTTAAGTTTGTATTATTGTGTTTATATGTCAAATGCACTGTACATCAGAGCAAGAACACCACGACACAGCCCATAATAGCCAGTGGCTTCAGCATGGAAACCAAATGTGTCAGAGGAGTGAAGCAATATTTAAAATGTGCATTTAAATTTCTGAAGCAAACATTGATTTTTGAATGTCCTGGCTGATAAGGGCGATCATTTTCCACCATGTATAAAAGTATTATGTGTTAAACCATCTTTTATGTTCAACTGAAACCGTGAAATAATATGTAAGATTGAAAATGATGCATACAACTCATATAACTCGCCATTCTTTTTTCACTGAGATGTAACTTTGCTTCACCAGGTCAAATAATTTGTATAGCTGCTGTTTCCAAATGTAGTCATTGAAGTGCATTAACCTGCACGTAGCACTGATCCTGAGTCAGTGTGAGATTGTACATTCATTTCTGTACTGACGTTTCTAAGTGCATACAAGTGCCTTATGGTCAAAGTGGCAGATTGTGAGCTACAGGTTAAGAACACGAGGTAACTGCAAATGAGATCATGCTGCCCTGGAGCACCTGTTGGACGGCAACATCTCTCTAACGCGAAAGGAAAAGTGAAGAAGAATTCATCATAACGAGACACAAATATGGATGAAGTGGCTGTAAAGCATGAAGAGTCAGTTTGTTTCTTTGGATATTGCTGGACAATCTTTTATTAGCTGCATGAAGCTCCTGTTCCCCCAATTTATTTTTTTCCCCTTTTCAAGACTGTCATTTTTTGTTTGTTTGGCTGCACTGTTTTAACATTGGAGATAAAACTAGAAAATTACTCTCGAGAAATTTTGTGTGTGCCTGATGCTTGGTGCATAATAAATCAGTATGGATGTGAATTCATATCACACAAATGTGAAGTTAAAAAGAAGAGAGGATAATAATATAAAGCCTGTATAAAGGTGTGTGGATTGGCATGTTTATAGGTGTGTATGTGTGTGTGGTGTGTGTGAGTAGGTACAGTAATTAATGTTTGATATCTTTGATATTATCATTTATATAAATATCAGAAACTAGAGAGAGGAAGAGAGGAGGATTCGAAGTTGAAGTTATGTTGTGTGTGGGGGGGTTTGTCCACATTCCCATGATCAAAGGGAGTGCCACACGCCTTTGATCTTGATCTTTGATATCCTCACATTCCTACTTTGATAATAATGTACCTTTGTTGCAACAAACAAAAACGAACTTAATTCAAAAAAGCTTTTCAGCAGCTCCACATTCAAAACACTGAAATCATAATTTTTCAGTTTGATTCAGTAAAGCATTTCAGCAGGTTAGCATTCACACTGCCATTTTTATATACTGACCATAGACTGATATGAAATAGTTAGTTTGCCATTGAGTGCGGTTGTTATTGTTTTGTCTGTGGCTACTTGGTAAGCTGGGTAAACTTTTAGCTGTGAAGGCACCCCTTGAACAAGACACTCTCATTCAACTATTGGTCCTATTGATGAAATGACACCACCGACAGTATCCGAAGAGTTTGCCGAACACAGAGTTAATATTATATTTTTGTGATCAAAGTTAAATAATGGGACGATGACAGCAATTTCAAAAAGTGTGGCCTTGAGCCTCCTTCCAAAAATATATTGTCTTTCCTAATATGGAAGCGAATGGGCTCGTTGGGTGGTACTCCTGTCGTGGTTGAGCGCATAAAGCCAAAAGTGTAGGTCTGCTCGAATTCACAATGCCATTTCTGGGACTAGCACAAATGTCCATATGATTTGAGCTAAAAATTATGTATGAAGAACTACATTTGTGGGTTTGAAAGCAATTTGAAGAAAAAAGTTTTCAAAGATTTTCAGACCTGATATATAATATACAGACTTAAGACACTTTTTATTCATAGTATAATATTGATTTCTCGTAGATCATGGACCAAGGTGATCAGATGAATGAGTTGCGGCTTCAGTTCGAAATGCTGCAGAAACAGCAGGAGAAAAGAAAGCTGGATAGGATAAAAGAAAAGGAAACAAATAAGCTGAATGTCAATGTTACACAAAATGATTTGGATCAATTGAAGGAAGACATTCAGGCAGATAACCTGCCTGCAAAGGACAGGTGAGTCTTACAAAGCCTGATTCAAATGTAGTTTAAATCTACATATGATGGCTGCATAAATCTCCTTGATACTTTATTGTGCAATTGCTTAAGGTTTGGATGTTTTATCTTAGTTTTGAATTTTATTTACTCTCCTATAGACTTGTGCAGAATTTGTTTGAGCAGCTGAGAGAGCTACAAGATGAAAATGGTCGTCTCTTCAAACTTCTCGAAGAAAAGGATTTTGAAATTAAATACCTGAAGAAGAAAAGAGAAGAGGAACGCCTGGCTTTAGCAGGTAGGTGTTAATACAAAAACCATAAACCTGCATTCATTTTGCACGCACAGAGATTGTTAGCAATGCGTCACCCTGTCTTCATCATCCTCTTCTCCCTTCAGGCACGTCTGACTTGGCTGGAGACATAGCAGCCACCAAGATTGTTGAGCTGTCCAAGAAGAATCGAGAGCTGATTGCTGAAGTTGAGCAAGGAAAGATAAAGTCAAAGCAAAACAGCATCAAAATCAAAGAGCTTGAGAAAGAGGTAACAAAGTTGTCATTTAACTTGATTTGTTGGATGAAAGTTTTTTAACTGTACAGTTTTTTTAAGCTCTTTCTTTTTCAAACAATTTCTTTTATCATGTTAGGATGTTGTGATTTATCACAGGAAAAAAAAAGTGAATGAACGATTGTAATGTTCTGCCCCTTTCTAAAGCTGCAGTCTGCGTTGTTGCACGTTTCCCCTGGGCAAAAAACAACCTCCCCGTATAAGAGGTGTTTTGGTGACTGTGAGGTAATTATTGAAGTTTCTGCAGTGAAAATTGACATAATTGTTTTTCTGTCTTCCTAACTGTAAATGTTGGCAACTCAATCTAACTAATGTATCTCAAAAGCAAGAAAATCCAGCAGTGAAATCTCTGCAGGAAAAATTAACTGCAGCTCAGCGGAAAGCGGCTGATTACCGAAACCAGATTCAATCTGGCAAACAGGAGTTAAAAGTCGCTCAAAAGGTACAATCTTCTTCTTCCAAACTGCTCGAGTGGAATATCATATATTATCATATGACCTCTGTCGTCTAAAATGTGTTCTGCTACTGTTGCTGCAGGTTTTAGTCAGTGAGGTTGGAGAGCAGGTCAACCTTCAACAGTTACTGAGCTGCCCGGGCAGCTTTAGAGGCCGTGCTCAACAGATTCTGGCTCTTCAGACGAGGGTAAGATAGAAATTTAATTAATCGTGATGTGCTTGTTAAATTTAAAGTTTCAGTATTTAAATATAAAGGGCCCATTCTAGAGTAAAGAAAACAACAATTTGTA